ATATATGGTTTAATGTTATTTATAGTTGTTGTTATTGTTAATTAATTTTTTAAAATTTATTTGCTTAATTTTTTAATTTCTATCATTATAACTATTTAAAACATCAAATATAGTTTTTTGATTTTAAAGGTAACAATATAATCATTTATATATAGTTATTTTTAACTATTGTTATTGTAAGTTATTTTAGGCTACTTATTTAAAAACTTTTAACGATTATAAAAATATATTTAGGAAATATTTTAGTTAAATTGAGATTACAATTTAGTTTTTGCATTTATCACTGCAATTTATCACTTTTATCTATTTACAAAATATTCTTTAATTTTTTAAGTGGAACTGAAATTTATATTTAAGTTGACACTGTAATGTTATATTTGAATTAACAATTTAAGTATTTTGTCCAAACTGTTCAAAAGTTGTAGCTTTAAACTGATAATGGTTATATACAACAATATTTTAAATCTAATAAATTAAGTATAATATGTTAAAAGTTAAAGACATAACTTTATAAATAGAAGTAAGATATTATTTTAAAATTAAAATTTTGTTTATTTATAATTACACTTTAGGTTTGATATTTATTTAACCTTATTAACCAGCTTATAATCATTATTAGAAAGACACTACAATTTATCACTTTTAACTACTTACAAAATATTTTTTTGGTTGTTTAAGTTAAACTAAAATTTATATTTAAGTCGACCATGTAATGTTATATTTAAATTAATAATTTAAGTATTTTATACAAATTGTTCCAAAATTATATCTTTAAAATGATAATGGTTTACATCCAACAACATATTAAAACTAATAAATTAAGTATAATATGTTAAAAATTAAAAAACATAACTTTATAAGTAGAAGTAAAGATATTATTTTAATACTGAAATTTAGTTTATATATGATTACACTTTAGGTTTGATATTTATTTAACCTTATTAACCAACTTATAATTATTATTATATAGAAATTGAAAAGTCATGGGAGTTTCAAATGAATGTGGTGAAAGGAAAAATGAATGAGAGTTTCAAATGAATGTGGTGAAAGCAAAAATGTTTCATTTATAAGTATACTAGGCGAATGCCCGCGCGTTGCGCATAAACACCTATATAGTTGAAGTCTTTAAAATTGTATGTTTTTTTTAAATATAGAAATAATGTTGTTGTTAAATTTGATATAATAACTCATATACTAAATTGATATAATATATTGATTATTTTGAATTATATGATAATATATACATCTATTATAACTGCATAATCTCAATCGTTTGAATGACTTCTACCCGAGAGTTACACATGAATAAAATTACATATGATATATGGTTTAATGTTATTTATAGTTGTTGTTATTGTTAATTAATTTTATTAAAATTTATTTCCTTAATGTTTTAATTTCTATCATTATAATTATTTAAAACATCAAACATTGTTTTTTGATTTTAAAGTTGACAATATAATCATTTATATAGAGTTATTTTTAACTATTGTTATTGTAACTTATTTTAAGCTACTTATTTCAAAACTTTTAATGACTATAAAATTATCTTTAGGAAATATTTTAGTTAAATTGAGATTACAGTTTAGTTTTTGCATTTATCACTACAATTTATCACTTT